TAAAATCCCAGACAGCTTGCTCAGGTGGGAAGGACAGGTACTTTTGAGGACAGCTCTTGTGGAGAGCAGTCACCGGCACATTGCGAATGGGTCTTTTTCCAATCTTTTGCAAGAAGTGCAAAGGGGATCAAAAAATATGGTGTTTATGTTTTTAAAAAATTCACTACAGTAAAAGACACACGGCCGTGAATCCTCCCTCACTTCAGCACACTTACCCTGTTGTTCTTGTCACTTTCTGAAGCAGCTCTGGAGTCCTATTACTGAGTGTCTTTATGAAGTATGATAAAAAAAATACAGTGAATACAGCTGCCAACGCCATCCCACAGAAAGCCAGGATAGTAAAATCCTGACACTGTGTTCTCATCCATCTTATTCACTGGATCTGGCACTGTGTGACTTCTGGCTGTTCCCACAGTCAAAATGGCCATGGAAAGGAAACATTTTGAATGATTCAGGACATTAAGGCATCCAGGACAGTGCAATTAAAGATACTCATGTTAAAAAAAAGTTTAAACATTCACCATATTTTTGATCATACTGCACATGAAGGTTTTTTTTTCTCCCACCAGTCTTCAGTGGGTGAACTTTGTACAATTCCTGGGGGCAAATTCCTGAAAACCCAGAGAGCCCCTAGTACTGGGCATGCAGGTCAGACTTTCCACTCACCCTGAAGCCATTTGTCATAGCTCAGGGCTCCTTGGCCTGCAGTGGCTCCAGAGAGCCTATGGCGGGTGGTGGCTGAGACCTCTGTGGTCACCTGTTGTCCCTCCTGGCTGAGACAGTGCTTCTGCCTGGGACCCTATGTCTCAGGAAGGACTGCACGGTTGCTGTTCAGAGTGTTTGGCTTTTTCCCTGTTTCCAAGGCAGAGGGGCTGCTTCCAAGCTCTGGAGCCTCATGATTGGAAACTGGAGCTCGACTGCTTCTGTGACTCAGTGATTTTTCTTTTTAAATAAATATGTGTTTAAACATTCCAAATAAATGAGATTTTTGCTATCTTTTTATTACTTATTTCTGATTTTATTACCTGGTGGTCAGAGTATGTTGTTTCCCATGTTGTCAGTTTCTCTGCATTGAATGTTTCTCGGCGGCTTTGGCAAGAGGTCAGATTTTTTCAGTGTCTTATGTGACCTGAAAAAGACAGTGGCAGGTACAAAGAGGCCTTTCTGATGCTCAGATAGGAAGGTTTTAATCATGCCATTCATAACTCGAGCTCTGGGCCCACAGCCTGATCACCACTCTACCTCCTCACCCCAGGTAACCTAAGGATGGTGACCACGACAGTATCACAATGCGACTTTTCTTTCCCCATCTGAGTCACCGAGAGATAGGTGTCCGTTAAAGCATAAGAGGTGTTACAAAGCAGCAAGAGCGAGTTTCTCAAGAGTGAGTCCAGGACGTAAAGACCAGCCTGTGATCCCACCACAAGGGAGGCTGAGGCAGGAGGATGGCTATGATTTCGAGGGCTAGTGTCTTCATCTACTGCTTCAGTCACATCTGTGTTCAGTCTCTTTTCAGATCTCACAGGTTTTTGCTTGTTGTCAGGTATTCGTTATTTTCTTTTGAGACAGGGTCTCACTATGTAGCCCAGGCTGCCCTCAAACTTGCAGCAACCCTCCTGCCTCATTCTGGTTTGGTTCATTTTAAAAATTTAGTCTCACAGCCACTGCAAACCTTTCTGTCGTCCCCTGTGAAGGTGGGGGCTTCAGAAGATGGAGGAGAATCTCTTTTATACCATCCTGGCTGCCGTGCTTGGGGTCCTGCTTCTTTTCTGGGGGGTTGGGACATCAATGAGGAATGAGGGGTTTCAGTGGCTGCTCCCCCAGGGAACTACAGTGTCCCCTTGGCTGTTGGGAAAGTCACATGTCCCCGACTTGCCACGTTCTAGCGGTGATCATAACTCCTACTACCTTATTTCCTTGCTCTAATAATTGGAGCTTCAAACTCTATGTGACCTGAATGTTATGGTTTGTGTCTGTGTGTCCCCCCAAAGCCTCATGCGGTCATGGGGCAGGCTTTTAGAGTTTGATTGATTATGGGTGTGAGAGCTCCACCTGCCCAGGGGTGGATAGTTTGCATATGTAAGGGAGAGAAAGCGGGTGCTTCTGACCATTTCCTCCCTTGTGTGTGCTTGTTGCTTTTGCTGTGCTCTGTCGCCATCAGCTGTAGCTCTCTGCCATGTGCCAGTCTGCCTTGTAATCTGCCAAGTATGGACTGAAACCTCCACAAACTGTAAGCGAAATAAACCTTTCCTTCTTTAATTTTGGGCGTCAGGTATTTTGTCCCAGCAACAAGAGAAAAGTAACCAAGACACTGAGCATAGTGATTTGTGTGGGAGGCTGTAATCCCATGACTTGGGAGGCTGAGGCAGGAGGATGGGGAGTTTGAGGCCAATCTGGGCTACATAGTGAGATCTTGTCTCAAAACAGAACAAAGGACCCTAAACGCTAGTGGATATGTCAAGCTTTTCCAAGCATTCCCATAGCAGGCTCTGTATTTTGTCACTCCTGCTGGGGTTAGGAACTCCTATGACTGAAGCATCTGGCTGGAGTTGAGGTACCAGACCCTTGTCTCGTAGCCCCAACCTCCTCAAGCCCTTCTGTTGGATCCTTTCTCACCACAGCCGACTTCATCTGATGGTTTAATTTCTATGGCTCAAGGGAGTGGTTGGTCCCTTCAGGACCCCTCCCGTCCTCAGGTTAGAGAGACAGCTAACACCCAAGTGAAAGGAGAATGGCTGCTCCGCACACCCTTAGACTTCTGTTTTCTTCTTGTAACTCTCATCATTTTCTTTGGACTGGAACACCCTTGTTGTGGCATTTGTGATATACTAATGGGCTTATCAGCCTTATTCACTTAGAGATGAAGGCAGTACAGTCATGTGGTGTTGTGGTTTAGATCTAAAAGTCTGGACGTGGGGCTCTCAGAATGGGCTGGACTGTAGAGGTGCTAATTCATGGAGGATCAATGCCTCCAGGAGAGGTGACTGAGGGACTACCAGGCAGTGATGGAAACGGGAGGCCAGGCTTGGGTGCAGGGAGAGGGCATGGGTGTGTCTTGTCCTTGGCCCCTTCCTTTCAGTGCTCTCTCACCTTCTTTGCTTCCCAGCTGCCAGGAGTTCAGCAGCTCTGCTCCCTGTGCCCTCTGCCATGATGTTATGCTGTAGAGCTGACCAGGAACTGACACCTCTGAAACTGTGAGCTGAAACAAGCCTTCTCTCCTCCTGGTGGCTTTTCTTGAGTATTTGGTCACAGGGACAAAAGCCTGGCTAACTCAGATGGTTGAGTGCGCCCGGGGCCTGGGATGGTGCACAGAGACCCCCCAAATACCATGTGACCCCTGGAGGCCCTGTTTCTTTAAACGGCGGGATGATCACTTGTTCTAAACAATTCAAATTTTGGAAACCAAATGAGATAATCAAAGTGGAATCATGTATACAAGACAGACTTACAGATACCCATGGCTACCTTTAAGATTATATTTGTTGTCAGGATTTTACATTAAGTTGAGCAGCTTTAGGATCCCTTTAAAATTGACTATTCTTCAAGAAAATCATGAAAAAACATTGTCCGATAACAAAATAAAGGCTTCATTATTTTAAAAATTTATTTATTTTTTCTGGTACCGGAAATCGAACTCACGACCTCGCACTTGCCAGGCAGGCGCTGTGCCGCTGAGCTAAATCCCCAGTCCCAAGGCTTCATTACTTCATCTATGCCAATCTCAATTTCAGGGAGTCCGTGGATTAGGGTTTTGGTTTTTCCTGGATACTCCACTGTGACCTAAGCAATCTCACGCTTGTGTAGAGGAAGAAAGGAGGAAGGGAAGGCATGATGGCCCGATTTTTGTTTGGCTTAAAAAAAAATTCTCTTAAGTACTTCCTATTATCTTTTCTTCTTTTTTCCTTGAAAGGGAGAATCTTTCCGGGTTCCCAGGCTGGCCTCGAACTCACAATCCTCTTGCCTCATTCTCCTGTACAGCTGGGATTGAGTGGGTCACCACATCCAGTTTAAGCACTTCTTAATAGAAAACAGAATCGAACCACTTTGGCTCGGTGAACTGTCCTGATCCGGCTTAAAGGAAAGTACTTTTTCTTTCTTTGTCAGCGTTGCTCTCTGCCTTCTCTGGACAGCGCAAGAGCCGCTGTGTCACCGCAGCGCCGGTAAGACGCACTCTGGTACCCAGGCCCGAGCCCCGTACAGGGAACCATCATCTGAAAGCTGGTGACAGCCTGTTGCACAATCAGGGCTCATGGCCGGACTGTGGCTTTGAGCCCTGCCTGGGGCGCTGTTTCCCAGCCCTGCACCGACAGGTGGGTAACCCGCCCGGCAGAGGCGACACCTGAAGGCCAAGGAGCCTGGGCGCCTGGGGCCGGCTGGGCCCCAAGGGATGGCACCCGCGTAAGACGGTGCTCAACGGGAGACGGTGCCCATGCGGGATTGTGCTCAGGCGCAGCGGTTGTACCACGTGAGACGGGGGTCGTACGGGGGTCGTACCCACGTGAGACGGTGCCTGGGGGAACGTTGCCCAGGCAGGATAGTTCCCCAGAGGGAGTGGTGCCCATGCAGGACTGTTCGCCACAGGGGACGGTACCCACACGGGACGGTGCCCACGTAGGACAGTGCCCAGACGAGAAGGTACCCAGCAGCCACTGCTCGGCCCGTGCCGCGATGCTCGCTCCACGCTCCGCAGGCCGAGGGCCCATGGACACCGCATGCTGAACCCCACGTCGCCCTGGATTCTGCCTGCAGCCGAGTGGGTCGGCGCGCGGTTGCGGCGGTGGCTTCTCTGTCTCGCAGGAGCGGGAACAGGCTCCCGGGCGGACTCCGGCCGAGCTCCGCCCCTGCAGCCAGCACTGGGCTGAGGCCGGGGCGTGGTCGGAGATGGGGGCAGGCTCGGTTTTTCTAGGGCTAGTCCTAGTTCTGGGGCGGGGCCAAAGAGGGGGCGTGACTGCCCCTGGGGCGGGACCGGACCCTGGGAGGCGGGTTCTGCTCGTTGGGTGGGTCCAGGGGCGGGGCCTCTCGAGGGGACAAGTGCTGCCCGGGACGCGGTGGCGCCATGGAGCTCCCTGGCTCTTCCGGCATGCGAGTCCCGCTGCTCCCGCTGCTACTGCTGCTGCTGTCGGTGCCGGGCCGGGCGGGCCCCACGGCGGGCGTGCAGCCCTGGAGCCTGCGGGATGGCTGGCGGGTGCGCAACGGGAACGGCTCACTGGAGCTGCCGGCGGTGGTGCCTGGCTGCGTGCCTGGCGCGCTGCTGCAGCGCGGCCTCGTGCAGGTACCAGGGTGCGAGGACGGCGTGGCACTACATGCAGGGATGGCCGGACCCCCTCGGCGACACAGGGCGGCGGGGAGGAGGAAGTGACTGGGTGCATGAACGAGCCTGGCCGGGCGGCCGCCGTCAGTGCACCCGGGTCTCTCTGTGTGCTCTCTGCAGCCTGCGCCCACTGCGTGGGCCGGGCTGTGCTGTGCTCTTGGTTCCCTCCCTCATAACAGCTCCGCGGAGCAGGGGACGAGTTCGCAGGAGGACGCGGCAAGGGCCCGTGGCGCTGATCGGTCCTGCTGCGCACCGGGACTTCCTCCCTGGAGCACTGTGCAGACCTCAGGCACCACTGGCCTAAGTGCTGCACGCTTGGGGCTGGCGGCTGGGGCGCAGCGCTTCTGGTGCGTTTCTCAAAAGTTGTTGCCCAGTTCTGACTGCAACCCCTCCCCACGGTGTGCACCAGGAAGGAAGCGAATGTCCACAGTAACAATGAGCACTGTCTAGAATTTAAGCGCTTTATCTTCCGTTAACAAAGGACACGTGACACAGACCAAGCTGACTCTGATGCCCGGAGCCTGGGTTCACGTCTGCTTGGACAGTGCCTTGCGTTGGTTCCATGGAGTCCCTGCCCCAGTAACTCGTAACTTTAGCAGTTGGGTGATTGTGTCCCATGCTATAGGGCAACCTATCCAGAAAGAAAGAAAGTCCGGTGACTACTTTCCTGAATAAGGTCGCATTGTCACTCCTATGACAACGTTCTCTTGGTGTTGACCTCTGGGCACACTGTACTGTTTAATTCGGATGCTGGGCCAAATACTGTATTTACACATTAACTTGACATGTTCCTTAGCTAAATCATTAATTTGCGTATTCTTTCACCTAATTAATTGTACTGTAAGTATCTGCTTAGTATAGTACCTTTGATGTAGCAGGGACTGTTCCAAGTGCTTGAGGTAAAATGGTGAAGGAAACAAAATCTTACCACACGAACATTTTAGTGAGGATGATTACCAAATCAATGCAGAATATATTTTTCACTGTAGAAAGATTAAGCAAGTTAAAGGAAGGGAAGGTCAGGGCTGACTGGAAAGGATTGCTGTTCATTTAAATTTTTTTTGGTACCTGGAATCAAACTCAAGGCCTTACACTTGCCAAGCAGGTGTTGCACCGCTGAGCTATGTGCCTGGTCCAAGGATTGTTGTTTATTTTTTTTTTGGTTTTTCTCTGGTACCGGGAACCGAACTCACGACCTTGTACTTGCCAGGCAGGCGCTTTTGCCGCTGAGCTAAATCCCCAGCCCCAGGATTGTTGTTTAAAATAGCAATCCTTAAATGCTGGTTAAAGATAGCTAATTTGATAAGTTGACTTCTAAGTAGAGATCTTTCTTGCTTTTTTTTTTTTTTTTTTTTGAGACAGGGTCTCACTATGCAGTTCCAGCTGGCTCACTTTGTAGACCAGCTGGCCTTGAACTCATAATGATCCTCCTGCCTCAGCCTCTGGAGTGCTGGGATTACAGACATGTGCCACCTCGCCTGGCTCTCTTGCTTTTAAGAAGAAGTACATTCTTGGCAAAGTGGGAAAAAAGAGGACTAGGGACAGAATGCTGGAGCCCCTGGAGCTACTAGGGACAAAGGACTTGTAGCCCAAGGGGCACACTTTTGATTTTATTCTGCTTGGGCTTGAAGCTCTGAAGGGTTTTGACCTCTCTCAAGTTGTCACTCTGCTGTTGTCACAGTGAGGAGACCAGCTAGGGACACTTGTGGTTCCATGGGCCAGAGGTGGTTTCTGGGTTGGATCCTGAGGGTAGCAGTGAAACGGGGAGCAAAGCGTCAGAGCAATTTTAAATGCAGAACCAGTGGGAATTGTTCAGTTGGATTTGTTGATGGATTGGAAGTGAGAAAAGACTAAAAGAGGAGTCAGGGAAAAGTCAGGATTTTTCATCTGAGCTTCTGGTTGAGTGGAGTTTTGTATTTCCTAAGAGGCTGTGTGACTAGCCTGGTCTGTTTTTTAGGTGACTGACTGGGTTTTCTGTATGGAATCTAAACCTTAGGTGTGTAGGGTGAAAAGAACTTTCTTTCCCTCCCTGAAAGTTTTTGTGTTTGTAAAACAGACTGACAAGTGGTAGATTAACAGGAGAACAGGCACACACATTGTAATGGGATGGGAGTTACACGAAGTGTGAACCCCAAAGAAGAGCTGGATGGTGAGGCTTGAATACCTGCTTCTTCGGGCAGAGGGAAGAAGGGATTGCAGGCAACTTCAGAAGGAGGGGAAATGATTTTTAGGGAGATGAACGGACCCGAAGAACAAAGAGTAGTGTGCTACAGTTTGCCTGGGCTCTGGGTGCAGGTAAGGCCTCATCTTTGTCCTGCTGGTTGATCTTGTGGAGGGTCTAGCATCCAGGTAGATGGGGAACTCCAGAGGAGGCCCTGTCCTGCTCCTTGGTAGGCAAAGAGGGGCAAGAGATGGGGTGACAGTAGAGTGGGGCGCTGAGCCTGAGAGGAAAAGGCCAGCTAGACGTCAGTTTTCCTTTGGGTGTGGTTTTCTGAGCCCAGCAGGTGTCTCAGGGAATCTTTAGTGCTCCTGTTACTTATGAGGCTGAGGATTACACCATTTACTGATGATAGGCATTAGGAAGAAAAAGGAATGAGCGGGGCTGTCTTAGTTACTTTCCTTGTGTCTGGAACAAAATACCAACCCCTGCACGCAATTTAAAGAAGGAGCGGTACATCTTGGCTTACATTTAGTTCAGTGGTTGGCTAGCTCCAAAGAAGAAACAGTGTGGCAGAAGGCCTGTGGAGGAGAAGCAGCTTACTTCAAGGCCGCAGAAAGCAGAGGGGCAAGGAGGAACCGGAAGGGAGATAAACCCTTCTGGGTCAGCCCACAGTGACCACCTCTAACCTCCGAACAGAAGGGCAGCCGTATTACCCCTCAGTGGAGTCCTTTTCCAGTACCCCAGCCTATAAGTGCATGGAACCTTTGGGGGATATTCTCAATACACACCCTAACAGAGATCCAGCTTTCCACTGTAATTTACTGAGGCAGAAAACTTTGCTAATCGAGGGCATAGGTTTTTTTTTTTATTTTATTAGGAATGTTCTCAGTGTTCCTGTGTAGTCTCTCACGAGTGTGAGTTTTGAAAAGATTTTTTTTTTTCTAAGCTTTTTTCAACATGATAAATGAGAAAATATAGATGAATAAAAAGAAAGAGAAGTTGGAAGCCCAGCTTCTGGAGATAACTACTGCTCTGATGCCTCTGACCTTGCTCTTATTGCTTAGGGTTGTTTTGGTACTCTGGGTCGTTTGTGTTGCTGTATGAAATTTTGGATTTTTTTGTAGTTCTATGAAGAATGTCACTGGTATTTTGTTGGGGATTGCACTGACTCTATAGATCACTTTTGGTTATATGGGTCTTTAACAACATTAATTCTACAAATCTGTAAATATGGGGATGCTTTCCCTCTTCTGGTGTCTTTAGATCCTTTCTTCAGAGTTCTGTAATTTTGACTGTAGAGCTCTTTTACCTTCTTCATTCCTAGTTTTTAAAAAATCCAAAATTTAAAATTTTTTTTTAGCTATTGTGGATGGAATTATTTTCCCGATTTCTTCCTTAGTTCATTATTGGTGTATAGAAAAGCAATTTTTAAAATCTTGATTTTGTATACTGCTAAGTATATATTTTAAGGTCTCTTTAACTTGTTACATATTTTCAAAAATTTTGCTTGCATTGATGATTTTTCTTTTGTCTTTTTGAGACAGGGTCTCACTTTGTAGTTCAGGCTGGCCTAGAGTTCACTTTGTATCCCAGGCTGGTCTTGAACTCGCAATGATCCTCCTGGCTCAGCCTCCCAAGTACAGGCATTACAGGCATGTGCCACGACACCTGGCTCATTGATGATTTTTTTGTCATGTAGGTGCTTTAACATTTCATATATTGAAATATGTTAAGCTTTTTCTTTCGTGGTGGTATCTGTCTTTGGTAGTTTATTAGTCTGTTTTCCTTTACTACAGTGAAACCCCTGAGGGTGAGTATATCATAAAAGAGGTTTACTCCACCGAGCAGTGTTGCAGGCTGAAGGTATAAACAGTGCACTGCTAGTTCTTGCCTGGGCTCTTTGACTGTGTCAGGTCATGGTGGATGGCATGATGGGGGCAGAGTGTGAGAGATGCCTGATCATGTGGCAGGGCCAGTAACAATCTCTACGGGTCCACGCCTCTTAAAGGGCCCACCAACTCTCAGAGTCCACACTGGGAACTGAGTTTGTGACATACAAACCTGTAGAGGACAGATCACATCCGAACCAAGGCAGGTATAGGATTAGAAATCCACCCCACTCTTATTTTTATGATATTTTTATATTTAAAATTTTAATCCATTGGAAGTTTTTCAAATGGCTGTCAGGTTGATTATATCCTCTTGCAACGGCAAGCAGAAACACCAAAACGACATCCAGGATTTGGAGGTAGATTTATTCATGTTGACGGGCACTGGTCGGGATGGATCATTCCTAGAGTACCAGGTGCTGATCTCTGGTGGTCTAGGGCTTATATTGGATAAGCAAACAGGAAGTACAGAGGCAGAGTGGCTTGTCAATTGGGAGGTTGGTTCTTACAGTATGTGTCATAGTGACCAGCTATGCATCACAGTGACCAGGTATTTCTAAGAGACAGAAGCAACCGGAACTGGAACAGGAACTATTACCTGGGCAGCTAACAAGCTGAAGTATGCTGGCTGTGGGGGTGGGATTTCCTGTTACACTATTATTTGAGTGTATTTCTTTTTTGTCCACTAATATGAAAATATTACTTGCATCATATGGTAAATTCTTATATACTAATGTAATTTTGTTATTCTTTTTTAATCTTTTAAAAGACATTATAAAAGTTTAATGCTTATGGTACAAAAACTTAATGCAGAAAGTATAAAGAATAAAACCCAATAAAACATATTAAAGAAAAATTAATTGCTGTAAAATATTTAATGTTCACCTTTTCAGATTCTTTGTAAGCTATTT